TGCTGGCTGGGAAATTCTGGGAGCTGAAGTCCATACATTTTAAGTTGCCAAGTTTGAAAAACACTGAGCTACCTGAATGGTACAAGGAGCAAGTTTGCAAAGCCAGGCTCCTTGGAAGTAATGAAGATTGTTTTGCCCTTCAATGTTTTATTATATGCAATATAAGAAAGGAAGAATGTCTGTCTTACATAAATATTCTAGATTTAGCTATAAAGTCATATCATATTATATAATTAAATTACTGTTTTTGAAGTCATTTTCCTTGGTAAATTTCTAGAGGGTCTTCTAAATAGAATCCCAGCAGCAAAATGTTTCTTCCACTATAGAAAACGGTTAGGTTCTTCAGGCCATTGTAAAATCATTATTTGTTATTATTTTATTGCTTTTATTCAGTCTATACGGCCATCTCACATAAGTGACTCTGGGCAGTGTACAAACACAGTATAATAATACAAAATAAAGATAAAATAAAAGTACACAACAAGAATAAAACAAACATTCAAACAAAAATTGACAGAGATTGAGTATTCTTCCAGCCTTATATTTGTATTTATACATACCTGTACATACATACACAGAGCACACATATACATACACACCACACAGTATTCATTTCTATCATCTTCTTGTTAGTTTCGTAATCAACGTAGGCTTGGAATATAAGCATTTCTTTAAAAAAAATCATTAGCAATCTAATAGTGTTCCTCAGGAATTGCCATCAGGTGAAGAAGTGTTAATGAGGGCCAGCTGAATCTGGGAAGTTTGAGGTCCCTGGTACCTACTGCTAGTCAGACTGCTGGAAACAAGATGTGTTGCCCTTGCTCTGCTTATTCTGCTTCACCTCTTGCCTGCACGAGGACCATACTTTTCATCTATTCCCTCTGGATATTATTCTGCACCTGATTTATGGACTGAATTGGAGTACTCTTCCACCTGGTGTCTCTGGGGGAACTAACCTGTGCGTTCTTAACCTTGTCCAGTTTGTCTAGCCCTGCTTTCTCCTTTCAAGTCTGCAGGATAAGACCTACAACCAGCGGGTGTCCCAGGAGTCACACAGAACAGCAGACTGGTTTCTTAAGCTGCTTTCTAGCTTCTCATAAATAAGAACAGGGATCTTACTCACGCAAAATCCCAAGTGAGCGGATAGAGGTCATTGAACAGAATGAATCGGCATATGCCAATGTTATCCAACTTTGGCAACTATAAGATGTGTGGACTTTGTGAGAAGGCAGGGAGAAGTGAGGGCCTCAAACGAACCATGTTTGCTAGGGGAGAGCGCTGTGCACCATGGGGCAGCCTTGGGGGGGACGGCAGGAGGGAGGAAATACTGTGGGCAGAAGGCACGTTCGCACCAGAGTGAAGAAGGGCGGCAGGAGGGAGGAAATACTGTGGGCAGGAGGCACGTTCGCACCGGAGTGAAGAGAAACGGCAGGGGGCGGCT